AAAATGGGACGAGGTCGAGACAAATTCGCCCGTCGGACCTCGGCCTCGGGCTGGTCCTTTGTCGTCCGGATGCTGAGATCCGATCCAGGCGAGCATCCCTCCCGTTCTTTCTCTCGTTTCTTGCCGGTGTGTGGTGCACGTCTCGTCGATGGTCACCCTCGCCCGCTGCAACCCGGTGTGCAACGAGCGTACGGCATGCGCCGAGGATCCGCCTCTCCTCCGTGTACACGGCTACGCGGCGTTCGTTTATTTTTAAATATCACCGACGCCGACCAAAAATACATTCCTGCGCGCGTGCACGCGCTTTGTGCACGCACGGTTAAAACTGGACTGTTGACCAAAACTCCCCGAGCCTTGTCCCCGTTTCGCGTTCCTCGGGAACCGGACCGTATCGTTTCGTCGGAATTAGCGTAGCTCGGCGGCCGCGGGATGGAGAACGTCCCGAGCAAATTTATTCTTTTATTATTCTCACGACCGAAGATGATCGATTTGATTAAAGGCCAAAGCGTTTGCGTTGCGTTTGATTGAATTTTTGTAAACGTTAATATTTATTAAAGTATATATATATATATATATTGATCATCCAGCTTCGACGCGAATATTCCTTTGTTTATATCTTCGATTTATTTCTTTTCTTCGTTTCATTGCGGAATAATCGAAGAATCCTTCTTCGTCGCGATCTCTGTGCAATCTTCCCCTTCAGGCTCTCTCGTTGGATATTCAGGGATATTCGCTCGCGCGAATCGCACGAAATAATTAATCGCCGACGTGCGATTCGGCGGGCGATTAATATGCGAATGTCATTTTTCCCGAATCGACGCGTTGGGGATCCGAGCGTTACGAACGCCGCGCGCGTAAGTGGCACTTCGCTTCACGCGAAGGACAGCGATCCGTTAGCTCCGCTTGATTTCCCCGGCGGTCAGCCTGTCAAGAGAGCATCCCGTAGCATCTCGCGCGTTTCGTTTAGCGCGTCTCGCTGGCCGTTTTCCTCGGGGAAAACGCCAAAACGGGCCCTTCCTCGGGCCATCCCGGGGGACGCGTCTCCCCGCGAGAGCGGTCCGTGAGAGCGCGGAGAGACGGAGAAAACGAGCGAGCGCCGCGCCGACCGGTTTTTCGCGCGGCATGCCGAGTGCGTCATCGATTCGATTCCAGAGAAATAATCCCATTCACGCGCCATTCACTCCTCGCAATCCTCGTCGTAGCCGTAATGGCAGGCGCTCGCGCGACTTCGCGAGCGCAAGAGCGACGCCTTACCTTACCACCCGTCGCGCGGAATTTCCCGTCCGAGAGAGGAATGCGGCTCGCTAAAACGCGGGTTCGCTTTGTTCGCGTGGACGAAGTCGATTTCTCGTGGCGGACGATCAAGTTCAAGAAACGTTTTCAAGAAACTTTTCTCCGATCGCGTTTATCCGTAACGGTAACGAGCGCCGCCGTCGATTGCGCGTAAAGGGCGCGACGTCCTAAATTTGGGAAAAATCACGCGCTCCGCATCCCTTCTCTTCTTCGCAAGTGTTCTTAACAGAGGCCCTGACCTTTCCGTTAATCTTTCCGGCTTATCGGCCATACGGCGGATCATTCACGAGCCTGTCTCGCTACCGGCGATCGATTCGTTTCGTCGTAGACCGAGAAACCGCGGCGTCAGTCACGTCCAGTAACGCAATTTTTACCGTCGCAAAGCCATCAGCCTGGAACGCGTAAGTTCGCGTGGTTTCACCCGGCGAATACGTTCGTTCTACTTGGGTGGTCCGAGATGGTTCCCCGACGGCGAACGCTTGATTAATAGATCAGAAAGGGAGAGTTTGGAGTTCTTTTCGTTTAGATTAAGCAACGTGAACCGCCTCTCGCGAGTTCTCAGCACGCCCACATTGCTCGCACGGCTCTAATTCGACGTGGCAATTCGCGACGATAACAGCTCCCTTAACCCCACTTAGAGCCAAGTAACACCAAAACGCCTGCGGAGTTGCGTCGGGAGCATTTTTTCATCCTAGACGATGTAATAGGGGTCAATTCGAATAGAGCGTGATACGTTCCTTCCGCTGATTTGTGTAACAAATTTCTAAGACGAATCTCCTTTTCGGAACGTAGGAAGGATGTATTCTCATTTTTATAATTTTTATATTTTACAAGTGAAAAAGTTATGAAAAATAGATTTTCTTCTAAATCGCATTTAAAAATTATAGAAAATAGTTTAGCAACGATTTAGTACCTGGATCAAAAATTATTTAAATAACTAAATGGAAGTTTTGCTCTAATGGAAATGTAAAATGTAATGACAAAAATCTCAATTTCTTTTTTTTTTATATAAGTATTTTAAGTATTCAAAATAAGTTATGCTAAAGTTTTATTGCGATGCAGAGATTAATTGTTCAGCAAATAAAAACTTAATTTTGTTTGTAGCATCATTTATTTCGTTTGTGTTCTTAATCAAAATTAAATTTTTATGTACAGAATTGAATTTCTGCATCGCAATAAAACATTACTGAAGTCATCTTGAATAGAACTTGCATAGAAAAATTGAGATTTTTTTTGTTATTTTTCAATTATATTTCTATTAAAGCACATTTCTAACTTAAATAATTTTTAATTCAAATTCTAAGCCGCTGCAAAATTTTTTTATATTTTAAATACAGTCTAGGAAAATCTATATTTTTTCATAAATTTTTCATTGTAAATAAAAATGTATCTAATGTATCCTTAATATATATCATAAGATCCTTAATATATATTCATCAAGAATTACTCAAATTCAGTATTTATACGGTGATTTATTCATTTAAGTGAGGTTTATGTGTATTTGTTTAATATAAAAGTCGACGACGACCGACGAGTAATGAAGTTGAAAAGAAAATACTTAAAGAACAATGAAATCGTATCGATCAAACGAAATTCAACCTCGAGACAATTGCTCGTAATAACACTAGCGAATTAAATCGTTCCTAATGGCGAGCGAGCGGAATAGTCAAAAGCAAAAGCGAGGAATGAATTGTCTAAATTTTATCAGCAGCGATGGATGCTTGAATAAAATATACATTTTCCTTTAACACAAGTAGGTTATTCGGATTATCGATTAAATAATAAACTCGTGGGACGTACGTAGAGGGGGGGAGGGAGGGAGGATATGTATAAAACGAGAAACCTTTCGGCATTTAGCGCGGATCTTTGGAAATGTATGTATGCGGAGAAAAATGGCGAAAACTGAGGGGAAAAAAAAGAGAAAAACCGTTCCACATCATCTGCGATCGTCCCGATGCTTTGTTGCTCGTTGTCATTCAACATACGTAGGCAGGAAGATCTACCTGCGAGCAACAGAGGCTTCACACGTGAACGATGGGGTCCGTTGCGTTCTATAAATGATCTTCGCTAAATCGAGAACCCCGAGGAAATTCTTTCGCTAATGTTAACCCCGCGTATCGATCGTCGTAAATTTCAAAAGGCGAAGGTCGGGAAAATAAAGCGCGAGCAGAGATAGTCTCGGATCCCTCGGGTTTTCATCACCTTTTCCACTCGCAACGCGCGCAATTCCTTTATTCTCGTTACGCGAGATTCGAAGCGAGTTTCGTATCGTATAAATAACCCGGCCGTCGCGGGTAAACGAAAAAGGTAGGTCTGTAAAAAGAAGACCCGTAACGCGCCGATAACGATATCCCTGGTCGTGCGTTTTTCGCGCACGATTGTGTGTTTTGCTGGTTGTATTTAAAGAGTTCGCGCGATAAAACCGACACACTCCGCCGAGGGTAAAATTGATTTAGCAGCTGCCACGGAAAGATCATCAGACGGAGGCTCGTCGTTTTCGGAGGCTCGTGTTTCTTCCCAAATAAAACAGACACCGTGACACCGTGATAACAAACGCACCAATAAAATCAGGATTTGATTTTATTCGTCACTCGAGACATCACTGATAATAAATGAAATAAAAGTGGCTAATAAAGTAATTGTGTGCTATATTATAATTGGAGAAATTACTTTAGTCCCTGTATAAATATTTATATCACTTTTGTCTGTGGATTGT